AGATTTAATAGAGTGAAAACAGAGCTCCCATATAAAGGGAGGGTTGCCGCCTTGCCAGCTCGAATGCCTGGGTTTATATCCGGATCCTTGTCCCTACCACTGTGCTCCCAGGCAACAGATGATTGGCTATTTCTTTACCTCCTGTTGTTGCCTAATTAGCATTTTAGTGAGCTCTCCTTACTATCTGCTTGGTCGTGTGTGAGCTAAGTTGCAAGCCCCGTGTTTAAAGGTGGAAGTGGTCACCTTCCCAGCTAGGCTTAGGGATCCTTAGTCTGCCTAGGAAATCCAGGTAGTCCTGTCTCTCAGAACCTGGTGGAGGTAACTGGATCATGGGGGCAGTTTCTCCCATGCTGTTCTTATGATAGTGAGTGAGTCTCACATGATCTGATGGTTTTTATCAGTGTCTGGCATTTCCCCTGTTGGCACTCACTCTGTCCTACCATCTCATAAAGAAGGTCCCTGCTTCTCCTTTGCCTTCCACCATGAGTCTCCTGGACCCTCCCCAGCAATGCAGAACTGTGAGTCAATTAAACCTCTTTCCTTTATAAATTACCCAGTCTCGGGTATTTCTTTATAGCAGCATGAGAACAGACTAATACAACCAACATTCATAAAACTGTGGCAGGCAATTTGAATAAAATTGCAGCTATAGAGAATGTCGTACAGTACATATTTACCTGTGGAAACTGGAAAGCATTTTTTTATTTGCAGGGGCAGATATAAGTAGAAAAATCACCTTACTTACTTTTGTAAGTTAGTTTATACAAAGTAGACATAGTACATTAGGCCAATGAGAATTTAAGTCTTGTAATTCTTATCTCTCAACATATGGTGTCACTCCTTCTCCGCCAACAACTACCCACTCTTACTTGGTAAAGCTGCCACACCTGGGATTAGTTAGGCCTGAAAAATGGCTAAAAATACCTTTATCATAGAAGGATTTTAGAAAGTATTTTCTTAGTTGTTGCTTCTGGCATTACCGGGGCTGTCATGCATCCACGAAATTGCTGTTTGGTGCCACTGGTAGCTAATGTCCCCATTCAATAACATACGATAAACATATTCACTGTGTTATGAAAAAGTCCACTACAGTCACCACTTCAAGTCTTAATGCCTACTAACTTAGCAATTATAGTGATAGCAAAGCATTCCAAAGGTTTAAAAGAGTTCCAATTCTGGTTAAAATCAAAATTGAGGAGCAAGAGCTTGACATAAAAGGTACAAATCAAACTAATCTCAGAGTTGCCTTTGTAAAACAGATGGGTGAATTTTATCTTTTATTATTTGGTACTGATCAGCCACCTAGTGTTAATTTAAACTCTAATTACAGCTCTCTAAAATTATTTTTCTTGGGGGAAGTGGGCTATTAAGATTTTTGTTGGGGGTAGAAAGGGAAATGATAAATTTCATATGTTATATACTCCTACTTTTCCTTTAATACCAAAACAGGCCATCCCACAAATATAAAAGCATTTAGGCTAGGTAGGAAAAGAAAAAATGATAAAGAGAAAGAAGAAAAGCATAGTGATAACATAAAAATCAAAAGTTGACCTTAAAGCTTACTTTATATAAATTATTATTATTTTGAGACAAAGGCTCACTCTGTTGCCCAGGCTGGAGTGCAGTGGCATGATCTCGGTTCACTGCAACCTCTGCCTCCCTGGTTCAAGGGATTCTCCTGCCTCAGCCTCCTGAGTAGCTGAAATTAACGGTGCCTGCCATCATAACCAGCTAATTTTTGTACTTTTGGTAGAAACGGGCTTTTACCATGTTGGTCAGGCTGGTCTCTAACTCCTGACTTCAAGTGATCCGCTGGCCTCAGCCTCCCAAAGTGCTGGGATTACAGGCGTGAGCCAGTGTGCTCCACCTTACTTCATATAAAAAAAGGTGGAAGGAAAAGTAACCCACATATGTCAGTTAGCTGTACCATCCTGAAACAAGAGGATAGTTTAGTAGCTAGATATAAAGGACTAAATATTTCACTTTGGAAAGGCCACTGTTCTTTTTTTTCAAAGTCAGGAGAATATTTCATCCTGAAGAAGCAGTTGTTGAAAGAGTGTAAGGGTTACAGCGCTCAGTAAGGAAACCAAAGGTTTGTAAATGTCTGGAACATAGCAGGTTAAGGAAGTGTGGTGCAGAAAGGGCTGCTACTCAATTTTTTTGCCTGAGGCCTGCCAGTATTAGCTAACCTGAGGAAGTCACAGACAGTGTTATCACAACCAGTAATCTTTCTTCCCTGAAGCAGGGAGGGACAGTGGGCCAAAAAGTCTCAATTGCAGAAAAGTTCTTTGAGTCTTTGGGTCTGTAATCTGTTCCTACTGTTTATCTCAATTCTCTTAACTCTCTAAACTCTTGTTAGATATTTATCTTCCTTTTCTTCCTTGTTCATTTCCTATACATAAAAATGCAACAGCACAAGTGAATGCAAATCAATGATTAGTTTTAAAATAAAAAAATTGCTTTGCATTAATTAAAATTTTTTGAGCGTCTCACTATATCACCCAAGCTGGAGTGCAGTGGCACAATTTTGGCTCACTGAAATCTCCACCCCCTGGGTTCAGGTGATTCTTATGCCTCATCCCCCCAAGTAGCTGGAATTACAGGTTATCACTCCTGGCTAATTTTTGTATTTCTAGTAGAGATGGGTTTTCACCATGTTGGCCGGGCTGGTCTTCAACTTCTGACCTCAGATGATCTGCCTGCCTCAGCCTCCCAAAGTGTGGGATTACAGGTGTGAGCCACTGCACTGGGCTTTGCCTTGCATTTAGATAAATTAAGTAGGATAGTAGAATACAGGGAGAAGATGGTGAGACTCAGTACTGCCACTTTCAAGTTATGAAGCCTTGAACAAATCATGTACACCTCTGAACTTCAATTTTTCCCCATCTATAAATGCAGATAATAATTTCGACTGCAATGAAGATTAAATGATGGCTCACAACCTCCACAGCTCTATGTATATGGAAGATATTGTGGCTGAAGGTGACATTGTTTCAACTGAATACACCTTCTAAGTGAACACATTAGTTTTTTTAACTCTAAAAATTTTTAAAAATATTTAATTTCAAATATGTTCTCCCAATTCTGTCATCTATTTGTTAACTTTGTCTATAGTAATGTATGTAAAACCCCAAGCCTTTATTTTGATGCAATTTCTTCAATTTTTTGACATACAATTTGTACTTTCGAAATGTTGTAACATAAGTTATTCCTCCATCCCTCAGTATTAAAATATTCTCCTCCACAATTTGCTATTAATTTCACATTTCAATCTTTCCCATGCAGGCCTTTAATGCATCTGGAGCTCTTCCTTTTAATGTAGTGTTCAATTTTCTCCAGATGGTTAGCCTATTTTCTTTTCCCCATTGATTTGTTGAACGACATTTTATTGTATATTAAGGTTAGAAGTGATGTTGATATTGCTCATCCAGGAAGCACTGTTTGATTAGCAAGATTCTAAACAATGTGAGTTAGCACCTAGTTGAAAGAATTGATAATAATGGATGAGGGTGAATTTAGAATATGAGGGTAATATGTTGTATTATTAAACATATCAATCAAGAAGGAAATAAAAATCATGCTTATTGAAAGTTTTCAGATGACAAAATGGGGATGGTCTTAGTAACTAGAAAAATACACATATAGAAATTACTCTTATACAGCACCAGTTCACAGACACACCTGTAGATTCCCTGAGCTAAATATCTATAATATAGAAACAAACTTTGATTAGGTGATACTGAAAGTTTAAGTACTTAAAAACACCCATCACCAGGCGGCTATTGAACAGCGCCTCGAAGTCCTCCTTAAATAAAAAATGATTTTATTGGCCAGGCGCAGTGACTCACGCCTATAACGCAGCACTTTTGGAGGCTGATGTGGGCAGATCACCTGAGGTCAGGAGTTTGAGACCAGCCTGGCCAACATGGCAAAACCCCGTCTCTACTAAAAAATGCAAAAATTACCCGATCGTGGTGGTGCACACCTGTAATCCCAGCTACTCAGGAGGCTGAGGCAGGAGAATCGCTTGAACCCAGGAGGTGGAGGTGGCAGTGAGCTGAGATCATGCCACTTCACTCCAGCCTGGGAAACAGAGCAAGACCTTGTCTCCAAAAAACAGAACAAAATAAAATTAAATTAAATAGAGTTTATTGCCTGTTTCCAACAGTTCTCTGCAGGAAAAAAATCCAATGATTATATCCATTTCGTTGCGAATAAGACGGGCACCAGTTTACCTATGTACCTGAGGAAATGCTATGGAAATGGTACTTTTCAATATTATTCATCAGTATATTAACGAATATATGACTGAATAATTCATACTGAACTCAAATCAGTTGGAGATGGGCTATAAATGCAAATTAGCTGAGGATTGAATGTGCGTAGGAGATGTATAGGGGGTTAGAGGACCTTTTAAATTCCCCCAACAGTTGTGGTTTGGGTGGTTCTGTGTCTTTGCTATTCATTTTTAAATAGGTCAATTAAAGGAAAGGCCTGCAGCGTGTGGGGATCAGGAAGAAGGCAGATAAAAAACGGGGAAACTAGTCTGTTATTCAAGAGAACTGGCTTTCGCTTGTGGTTTCTCCTGTTTGGCTTGAACAAATCATTTCACCATCTTGGGCTTCCGTTTCGATACTGGGTGGGGAGGAACGGGTGTTACAAGATCTCTCAGTTGTCTTGCTGCTTTCCTTCTTCGTGAGCCCTCCCCAAGTTGATTTAACAAATTCTCTATAACCTAGAGTCCTAGAGTGTAAATACTACAGTCCAGGTGACCGGTCAGCGGGCCTCCTTGCGCATGCGCTGATGAGGCACCCTCTCGTTAAGGCCGGAATTTTGCCTCTGCTGCGCACGCGCCCCTTTTAAATCCCCCACCTATCAGAGAGAGGCAGGACTTCCTGTATTTTTTTAGAGCGACTGCCGGAAGTGGCAGCGGACAAATCGGCGTTTGCGGAGGCTCGCATAGATTTGGCTGTCTCCGCTCGTAGCTGCTTTTGGCGCGAAAGATGCCGGGTCTGGTCGACTCAAACCCTGCCCCGCCTGAGCCTCAGGAGAAGAAGCCGCTGAAGCCTTGCTGCGCTTGTCCGGAGACCAAGAAGGCGCGCGATGCGTGGTCAGTGTGCAGCCGGAGAGGGCGCGGCCGACGAGCCTCGGGCCGCGGCCTGTGCCTTCCGGTGCCTCTGCCCTACGCCCTCTGCCCTCTGCCCTTTTCCTTCCCCTCTTACCCCTCCTCTTCCCTGCCTCCTCCCCCCCTCCTCCCCCCCCCGCCTCCTCTCCCCCACTCCCCGCCTCCTCCCCCCTCTCCCGGCCCGATTGCGGCGCTCTGGAGATAATTACTGGGCCTCGTAGGTTTCCTGGTCGGCTCTCTGTTGACTTATACGGTGGCTTAGTCCCGGGAGCGATGAAGAAAGAGGAGAACCGCTAGCTTCAACCACTCATTCCTTTCTACAAATGTGTTTTGAGTATCTGTTCTGGGTTAAGCACTGCGTTAGGTCCGAAGATGTAGACATGGATAAAGATGGGTCTTGATATAAAGGAGCTTGAAGTTAATGGAGACATATACCAATGACTTGTATACCACGTGGTAAGGGCTATGATAGAAGATTTGTTAAGACCAAACAGGAAAGGTTTTCTGGTAAATTCTAAGGCTTCCTCCCAAAATTTAGAGACAGTAGGACACGGTGCGTTCCTTACATGCTGAAGAGTTCCCCTTCAACCCTTTTAAGGCAACCAAAAGTTGAAAATCAACGTCTATGGCGCAGGGGACAAAGTATTCAGAATAGTTCATCTAGATTGTCAGTCCACAAAAGGTTTGTTCTTATTTTATATATCCTCTTTTGTGGAGCAAATCTCATTAGAGGACGTCCTGAGATAACGTGAATGTGCATCTCTTCGTCTGGCCCCTTTTGTCTTCGCAAATAATATAAGAAAGAAATCATTAGTGCTGTAATGGGATAATAAAAGTGTAGGAGCTCAGTGCTTTTATTAATCCTCAGTATTTTGTGAATAATACTGTGAAGGCAGGATTGAAAGACTGCCGTCTGAACAAATTGTTCCAGTGGTAACAGTAAGTGCTATTGAACCTTGAGTAGTACGACAGCATGATTAAGAGTCTGGGATCCACAGTCAAGGTTTGAATCTTAATCCACTAACTTGGTGACCTTGAGCCTCATGTGTCTATAAAATGACTCTAATAAAAGAAACTCCCTCCAGTATTATTGTAAAGGTTAATGGTACAAGCCATGTCAAGTGCCTAGCACGGTGTACATGGCAATAAATGATCAATGAATGCTAGCTATTATCTTCACAATGATCTCACTCTCCCAGGCAATCTCTCCCATTTGCAGGCAGCTCTTGAGCTATTGAAGGATGGGTAGAGTTTCGATGGAAGGAGAACCTATTCCCTTCTTTAAATTCCTTTTGCCTCGATTGCCTCAGACCACGTGGGTTCTCCCCAAATATCCGTAGTCAGGAGTCAGTTTTTCCTTGTAATTGAGTTTGGCTTAACTTGATTGTTTGCTAAATCACATTTTCAGGCCTTAGAAATAAAGCTGTGTAGTCCTAGTCTTGTCTTTGTGAATTTTACAAGTAAAATGTTCTTTCATCATCACGAGGGGGTGCTCATCTTGGTCTCCTGGCTACCAGATGTTTTTGGTGTTTATGTTTTTAATGTCTTGTAATTAGAAGTAGACTTATTTGGTTGTATTTGAATGTAGGGCAAAATCAGAAAGTTAATTTCTCCGTGATAATAAGCAAAAAATTGATCTGTTTTCTGTGCCCTTCATTTAGCATAAATGTTTTATTCAGTTTATTTCTTTATAGAGCAATGTTACTCCTTGGATATTGACTAGAGGCAATATTTAATATGGGTGATTATTTCTTATCAGATTTACCCCCCAAAATCACTTATCTGTGTAATGTCATCATAGGCATGGAAATATCATAAGATCAAATAAAAAACAAAGCTGGTTGAGGTAATAGCATTTGTTTTAACTCCAGCTACATTCCATTATACCCATGTTTTGTCTCACTGCCCATCACTGTCATGCATACTTAATAATGTGCTTAATGCCTATTTAGATAACAAGTACATTTTGTTTTATAGTATCATCGAGAAAGGAGAAGAACACTGTGGACATCTAATTGAGGCCCACAAGGAATGTATGAGAGCTCTGGGATTTAAAATATGAAATGGTAAGCTTCTTGCTTCAAATTTGTGTATTGCTTTACAGATTTAGCAACAGTTGGGCTACATTCTCTCTGAAAGGTAGTTCACCTGGTTAATCTAAAATGCTTAAGTATCAATTTGAAAAAACCATGATTTTTCAGTTCCCAGTGAAGGGAGTAAATTGTCAGTAAAGACAGGCATTTAGCAGATTGGGGAAGGGGAGAATTGAGCTTTTAAGAAAGGGTTTGACAACAGTCTTTAGGTCTCATGGCTTTAGGAAAATTGTCTGACTGAAGGAACTAAAAGAAAAATATTCTCTTTCTTGTTTCTAATATTTTGAGACTTCAGTAAATGCTTTTTTTTTTTTTTTTTTTTTTTTTTTTTTTGAGGCAGGGTCTCACTCTGTAACCCAGGCTGGGGTGACAAAGTGGCCCAGTCACAGCTCACTGCAGCCTCAACCCCCCAGGCTTGGGTGATCCTCCCCTCAGCCTCCTGAGTAACTGGGACTACAGGTGTGGGCCACCATGCCTGGCTAATTTTTTGTTTTGTTTTTTAGAGATGGGGTTTCGCCATCTTGCCCAGGCTGATCTCAACCTCTTGGACTCAAGCAGTCCTCCTGCGTTGGTTTCTCGAAGTGCTGGGGTTAGAGGTGTGAGCCACTATGCCTGGCCAATGAATGCTTTTAAGTAGGGAGTAGGTATCCCATGGAAGTATTGCTCTCTGAAAAATGAAAATGGAATTGTAGTTATTTCTTTTGTGCCATGCTTTATTCGAATAAAACTAAAGCCTCAGGCCCATTTTTTTTTTTTTTAATTAAAAGTAAACTTTAATGTCAAAAATGCAAACTTGGGGAAGACAGAAAAGATCACACACAATGCTGTCACTTCACACTTGGAAGGTTGCACAGCGACTGGGCAGAGGTGCTCCTCACTTCCCAGACAGTGGGGCAGCCGGGCAGTGGCCCCCTTCACTTGCCAGGTGGGGCGGCAGCTGGTCAGAGGCGCTCCTCACTTCCCAGACAGGGTGGAAGCCGGGCAGAGACGCACCTCACTTCCCAGACGGTGGGCAGCTGGGCAGAGGTGCTCCACACTTCCCAGACAGTGGGGCGGCCCCGCAGAGGCGCTCCTCACATCCCAGACGGGGTGGCAGCCAGGCAGAGGTGTTTCTCACTTCCCAGACAGGGCGGCAGCTGGGCAGAGGCGCTCCTTACTTCCCAGACGGGGTGGCAGCCGGGCAGAGGTGCTCCTCACTTGCTAGACGGTGGGCAGCCATCCAGAGAGGCACCTCACTTCCCAGACGGGGTGGCTGGGCAGAGGCGCTCCTCACTTCCCAGACAGTTGGGTGGCTGGGCAGAGGCGCTCCTCACTTCCCAGACAGTTGGGTGGCTGGGCAGAGGCGCTCCTCACTTCCCAGACAGTTGGGTGGCTGGGCAGAGGCGCTCCTCACTTCCCAGACAGTTGGGTGGCTGGGCAGAGGCGCTCCTCACTTCCCAGACAGTGGGCAGCCGGGCAGTGGCACTCCTGACATCCCAGATGGGGTGATGGACCTCAGGCCATTTTTTAAAAGAACTTGGAACTCTTAATCCAAATTTAAGTGCTGAAAGGGACCTTAAGTGATATGTGTCCAACAGTTCCACAAACAAATGATATTCTTTTGTTTGGAAGCTCGCTCTTCAGTTATCAGCTTAGCTCACCTCCCCCCCACACACCCCCTTTACTCAGTTCTCTTCAAAAGTCTCCTTATTAGAGAGGCTTTCCCTCAACGCCCCATGTAAATTACATCCCTTGCCCATCATGGTGCTGTCCTAACAGAGCTTTCTGTGAACATGGAAATGTTCTGTATCTGCACTCGCCAGTCTGGTAGCCACTAGCCTTATGTGGCTGTTGAGCACTTGAATTGTGGCTGGTAAGACTGAGGTACTGAATTTTTAGTTTTTAAAAATTTTAATAGCTACATGTGGCTAGTGGCTACTCTATTCTATACACTGTCACCTACATATTATATATATTTTTAATTATCTGTGTTGCTTCACGGCAGCTAGAATGTAAGCTCTGAGAAAGTAGGAATTTTCTATTTCATTGACTGTCATATCCCCACCACCTATAACAGTGCCTGGCTCATAGTAGGTCCTCAATGGAGGATTGTTAAATGAATGAATAAATAAGGAAATTAAAGCTAATGGTTATGAAATGACCCCTAAGGTGGGTTGTGCAGTATCAGAACTGGAGCCTCAGTCTCCAGGCCGATTCCCTCTGCTTTTTGCCCCTACCCTAACTTCCATACCACACTACCACTTTTAACTTAATAACAGCTGAGAGATATGCCAAAGCCACATGCCAATATATTAGTATTAGAGAGCCTGGCTTCTTTCCCTTGCACCTCTTTCCTGCCTCTTTGGAATTTCACATATGGCCGGTCTTCCTCACTGAGCTATAAAAAAGAAGGGATAAGGAACTTGTCGCAAGCTGATAAGAACTTACTGTGTAATGGAAAACAGTCTAGGCTGAAAGTCCTGAGGCTTTATTTTTATTCTTCTGATATTTAGTTTAGCATGTTTTTCACTTTAGCTACATTTAGCTTCATCAAGACATTATTCCTCTGAATTTCACGTATTATTTATAAAAAGAGAACCATAATACATTTTGTGATTCTATATATAGTATGGTATATCTTCTGTCATGTATATGATACGCTTAAGTAGCTTTTAGACTAGATGGTTATTTAAAGAAATGCCGTAATGAACTATTTTGTAAAATAAGTAAATTTGAAGGGGAGTGTGTTCTTAAAAAGTGTAAGTGTACTTTATTAACTATTTTTAAAGATGCAGCCTCAACATTTGTACGTGGTTTCCTTGTTCATGATCTAAGTCCCTCATCAGTTGCATAAGCTGTAGGCTTGTGCTGAACCTGCCTTGATAAAAAAGGGTGATTTTAAAAAATGCTAATTTTAGGAATATCAAAAGCTTATCTTGGACTTCATCTGAACCACAAAGGTGGTACAATTGTTAGAAGTGGCATATATTCAAAAATACCATATGATATCATAGTTTTCTTTATGTTATTGGGACAGAGAGTGAGAATTATGTCTGTGTACTTCATTTGTGTGTAAAAGAAAATGCAAAAGCTTTAGACTTAGAAAATCTACTGTTTAACTGATTGTGTGGTCTTGGGCAGGTCCTTAACTTTCTGTACCTTGGTTTCCTCATCTGTAAAATGGAGACAATAATACATGCCCAAACTACTTCATAGAGTTGTTGTGATGATTAAATGTAAAATAAATCATCTGTAAAAACCAGAAAAGAATAGCTCATACCTTGAGACTGGTAGATAGCAGACATTCAGTTGAGGTCTGTTAAGTGTATGACTTGATTATTATTGAATCCTGGTTACAGGAAGAACAATCTGAATCCATGTAGGACCTTTCTAAGAATTCAAACTGCATGTTCTTCATTTTGAGTGTAATAATATTTTTGGAAGAGGACTGGGTGTTGGATCCTCGTTGGTCCCAGGTGTCCTATTTCCCCAACCTCCATGGGGAAATGGAGGCACAGTGAAGTCAAAAAAGACTTGCTCAAGTTAAGAGTGGATAGTGGTCAAATTACATTAGAGTTCAGATCTTTTATATTCTCCAAATCACAGGCACTTTACACTTCACTCCTTGTATTTAATGAGATTTTATTCCAACATGTTCATTTTTAGAATTGCACATAATCTTGATCTTCAATCTTAAAACCTCATTATGAATGCTAATTAGAAAGACCTGTTGCTGAAATGTACAGTTGCATATAACCGAGTAAACAGGCCATTGGCTGGAGGGTGAAATCCAACACAACTGTCTGCATTGCTATAAGATAAACTTAACCTAAATTGGTATTTCTTAGACTGTTAGATCACATTTTTCTGAGAATAGCTTCAAAGGAAAAATATTTTGCAAACTTAGATCTTTCTGGCAATGATCATGAAAGTTCCTGAATTCAGAAACCTTTGTAGATTTTGATGTTATTCCTAAGTAGATCTTAATTGTACCTCGAGTACAGTAGATTGGGAATAAATCTATTATACATTTTTTATACTTAATGTGAAAGTAGGCTACATTCACCCAGTAGTTCTTACCCAGAGATGCACCTCAGAATCATCTGAAGAATGTTTTCCAAAATTCACAACTTGGGCCCTGGTCTGCACCTGTTGACTGAGAAACTCCTAGATAATTTTCAAGTGCACTCCTCTTTAACAACCAGTGGCCTAAGTTGAAGACAAATAGCAGAGATAATGCTAGACATAAATTATCTGAAAATTTAGTAGTAGCAAAGGCAGAAACTTGAAAACTGAAGAAAAAATGGGTATGGTGGTGATTTTAGACAATTTTTTCTATTTTTTGACTGCTTCTTTTACTGAAAAGAGAAATTACAAGAACCTAGAACCTCATTAGAAATATAAGGAGGAAATGGATGGCTACTGTCTTTCTGCCTTTAGGAGTCAGAAGAAGCCTAAAGAACCCATTTTGGAGACTAAAGTCATTGAAAGAAATTAAAGGACTAGTACTGAGTAGTGGTGATATTCAGTATTAAGTTTAACAACTTAACAGTTGGGTGCTTAAAATATGCTGAATTTTACACACACACACACACAAAACTGATTATGTATGAAAATCTGATCCCAAGATAATCCAGAAAGAGTAATTTCTGCCATTCAAACGTTTATTCATTCAACAGATATTTATTAAGACCCTGGAAAATGCGGAGGGGAGAAAGATTATCCCTCCAGTCAAGGACTTTACATCCAGAGATATAACCAAACAGGTTTAAATCCACGGTCTTCTACCACGTAGCCCCTTTTGATGTGTAGTCAGTAGCAAAAGTGGTAACAATGCTATAAGCTGCTATAATTGAAAGGTTGAATGACTTCGCTTTTGGTTGTCTTTCCAAGCTTTTCTATAAATGTATTCTTCCTTTGAGCCTTTTAGAAAAGAGAGAGTTTAGATATTTTTGTCTTGATGTGGTTTATCTTTATCTAAACCAAATGAAGTGAACAGCTAAATGAGGCAAGTATTTGCATTAGACTTGAAGAGTTAGCTACTCCAATTTAATTACCTTCCTACCATTGTTCTCAGTCTTCTGGGATAGGCATTGGGAGCAGTGTGAGAAGCCTGGTATTGACTTGACTGGATCAGCAACCCTATCTATGCTACTCTCCCTTTTTGATTTTTCCAAATGAATGTTAAAGGGTTGCCCTTATCTTGCCTTTGGGATTAAGGGAGTAGCTTTCCACAGGAAGTGCCTTGAGTACTGAGCTGACCTTCTGCCTTCTACTTTGTGGATCTTCGCCAGTCATGCTTGAATCAGCAAAGAGGGGTTTGCAAGTCTTGTTTCTTGAATATCTGTAAAAATAACTGCTGTAGCCTTTTTTGGAGGATATTTTTGAGAAATACATATTTCTCAAACACACGTATTATTTCTGTATATATACACACACAGAGAGGGAGTTTTTACTTCAAAAACTTTTAAAGAGTAAACAGTATCGTAGTAGTTTCACTGATGTTTTTAGTTAGGCAAACCTAGAATTTTAAAATGTTGATTTTGAATTTTATGACTGATTTGGAATAATTCTGGCAATTAGTTAATTACTCATCTGTGGCATTCATTTCTAGTGGTCTTAATTCCCTGACTCCATAGATCTGGCATGATGTTTGAAATCTGACTTTCTAAAATAAATCTTTTTCTGTAGGTGGTCTGCTGTGTGAATAAATAATTCCTGAAGAATGAAGAAGATTAATTTTGGGAGTTCTTTGATGAACTTTGATATGTGGAAAAAGTATTTATAATTTATTTTTAAAAGAAAGTAAAATATTACTAGCGAAAGATCTTCAGTTATGTTTCTTTGTGTGTGTGTGTGTTCCTCATTTGCTCACGCGGCTTTTTTCCCCCAAAGGGTATATATCAACAAATCTTGTAACATAAAGTGCTTATATTCTTATTAAAATATCATTCTGGGAACTCTGGATATCTGTTGTCAGGAGAAAGCAGATACTGATCTCAACCAGTGAAATCTCCAGAATTAGGTGAATAGAAGTAAGATAAATAACCCTTTACCAATTCAGAATCAGTGTGGTAGCCATATCATCTCCTTCAACACTTTTTTTTTTTTTTTTAACTTTCTTAAAGGTAAGAACAAGCCGTTAGTCTTATTATTTAAACCATTATTGTTTATTAGCTGTCTTTTGGAAAAGTCAGTTTAGATTTTGGATCAGATTAGGGTGATTTGGCTTGGAAGATCTCAACTGTTTGGCATTATGAATCTGTACATAGCTAGTTATATTTTAAAATAGACTAGGATTTTAAGTTTCGTGCTTACAGGTTAGACAGTTGTCTCTTAATTAGAAGCTGGCTTAGGCTGGAGACTGAATTGGGACTAAAAGTCACTAATCAAACAGCTCAGTGCTATGCCATGGTGATGTCTGGAGTTGAACAGAGTGTGATTTCCTTAGTATAGCAATCTTGTCATCCTTGTAGCTGCTGATGGGCTAATGAAGTATGGTCATATTCTGCTTGTAAAGTACATTGAGTCTAAAATCTCAAGAACAAAAGATACTGAGAACATAAGAGGATATGTAATGTTCATGTGTCATTGTGTGATGGAAAAAGTCTCTCCTTTATAAAATAAAAAGCTGAATCAGATGATTCCTTAAGATTCTTTCCTAATTCATTAAGAGCATGTCTTTGATGTATGACAGACTTAGGTTCAATAGCTGACTATGTGACGTCAAGCAAGGGATAGCTTTTTTGGGTCTCTTTCTCAGCTGAAAAAAAAAAACAAAAAAAACCAAAAAGCAGGTATAGAAGTAATACCTAACTTACAGGATGGGAAGTACTAATTAAAAATGATGTATACACAGTATTTGGCACTGTTATTAGCATTCTCTTATTTTATTTTGTTTATATTTTTACTTGAATATTCATTTGGATATACTTTAGTAAGCACTTTATGATTTACAGACATAATCTACGTGAAGAATAGAATCTTGGACAATTAAGACAGGTATGAACCAACTTCCCACCCAATACAGATCTTTGGCATATGGTTATCCAAACTCTGCTCGAATATGTCCTGGAACTACAAAAAATAAAAAAATCAATAACCTTATCACCCGTTGTTAATTTCTAATATATACTAGTCCAGACTTTTCCTATGCCTTTATACATTTTTTAAAACAAAAATAAAATTTTTTCTGTGCTATATATTTTTAATGAAGTTATAACATTATCATGTTTTGCCCCTAATGTATTTTAACATCAGTGAGTATAGGTCTACGGTGTCATTTGTATTGACTATGTATAAATTCATCTGTGACTTAACCATAATTTAACCAATACCCTGTTTTTTCTTTTTGCACATTTGGACGTTCATTCATTAAACAAATACTTCATATAGCGTGTCTTCTGTATGTCAGATGCCGTTCTAGGAATTGGATCTCAGTCTGGAACAGGATGTATGTCAGATAACCTAAAATAGGAAGTTTTGTTTTATTTTGTTGGTTGCTTTAATGGAAACATTATAAGGAAGAAATATCCTGAAATCCCACCAGTCTACAGTAGAACCTCTCTTCAATAGCATTCTCTCTCTCTCTCTCTCTCTATCTCTATCTCTATCTCTCTCTCTCCCCCTCCCTCCCTCTCTCCCTCTCTCCCTCTCTCCCTCTGTGTGTGTGTGTGTGTGTGTGTGTGTGTGTGTGTGTGTGTATACACCTTTTACTTTTTTTTTCTTTTGGCTACTCTGATAACACTGCAATAGAAGTCTCCTTATGGAAAGTCTGTACAAGTGTCCTTTACTAATCACTCAGCTAAGGAGGGGCCAGAGGCCATGCATGTTTTCAAGGCTTTGAGTGAGGACTGCCCCCAAATGATCTCTAGAAAAAAAATACACATTTGCACCTTAGTGTCTCAGAGCACTGATTTCCCTAATCTCTGAGCAACACAATTTTTTAAAACTTTTGCCAGTTTGGTATGCTTGCCTGATTTGTAAAGGACCTGAAAGCACCCTTTTTGGCCTCTGCAACACTTAAAATTACATCTCAAGACCCTCTGCCCACCCTTTCCTAGTGCTTGAGTCTTCCCAAAGATGATGTGCAGCATTTCCGTAATAATAAGAGGCATCACCACAGTAACTGGAAAAATGAAGAACTTGGCCTCCTAGTGGGTAACAACCACATTCTAATGCACCTCTTTGCTAAGCCTTTGCTCTTCACAATAATGACTAAACTCAATGCGGATATATTCACACTATTCTTTCTAGTCCCCTCTTTGTCTAACCTTGAAATGTTTAACTTGAAGGTTGATGAAAACAGGATCATATCCTTAAGTAAGGCCTATCTTGGGATTACTACGTCTTTCACAGGTCTAATGTGATCTGTGATGTGATGGAAAAACCATGATCCTCATTTTACAGGTGAGTATAGGTGCTCGGAGAGGTTAAAAAAATCACCCTGATCCAATAGCTGGTAACCTGTGATGTAAGTTGAAGCCCAGTGTTCTTTGGTGTACTAGTTATCCAGTATAAACATCATGTATTTGTAGTTATAAATTCATTTAATGCATACTTAGTGAAGGCCTGTTATTTGCAGGTAATAGCCCTAGTGTTGATAATTCATGTGTGAATCAGACATACTTTTTTCAAGATGAGAGGCTGTTTGATTCATCACTTGCTGAGGACATACTGTATGCCAGCTATACAGAGTAGTAGTCAAAGAGTAGTAAGACATAGACTCTTCCCTCAGAGAGCTTATAGTCTAGTGGATATATATATATAAAAACCATAGAAATATAAAGTTGAATGCTCAGTGGTATGATGGATATTCCAAGATGCTTTCCTAAAGTGCATGTGTGATTATGCCCAGTATTTATTTCTTTAGGTATTAAAAAGTGCTAGATGTTCCGTCTGTGTTGATTATGGTGCTTTTGATAGCAAGTAATAGAAAATCCTCTTAAGGAAAACTCACGTAGCTGGAAGTCCATTTAGAGTCAGCTCTAAATGTGATGATATCATAGGATCCCTAATTTCATCCAAGACTCAAGTTATTTTCATCTCAGAGCTTTCTCGTCCAGGACTGATGAAGCCCATCATGTGCTTTCTTGTTCAAGTGCAGCAGAAGAGAGGGAAACCATTTCCTGGGCATGGACTCTTAGTCCCTTTTCTAAAGTCTCATTGAGCCAAATTAGGTTATATGTATTTTTATGGACCAGTAATAGTTATCAACGGAATACGTTATGCTGATTGGCTTACACAAGATTCCCCACTTCCACCCCACCCCCGCTTAGATCCATGTGCAGGTTTGATATCTGGACAAAACAAATTCTGTCACAATTGAGGAAGAGGTAATTGGATATTGAATAGACAACCAGATTTCCACTGCACCATCTTGTTCACCTAACAGGTCACCCTGAACGGTCAAATTGAGTTTGTAGGAGGAATTCCTCTCGTAGTTTACTCAAACTTTAGAAAGAAAATTATTGGTAGAGCATAATTCTGATGTTCAGTTTTTATAGAATAAGACAATTAGCAGATGTTCGAGAACTGTTCCCTGAAGAGTTGTCCTTAGGGAGATCTGAATTAGGATGCTTTCAAAAGCAAGCACTAGAATACCCAACTATGCTGACGCAAGCAATATAGAAAAGTAATTTATCTCCCTGTTAGGAAGTTTAGAAATTAAAAGCTCCAGGTTTGAGACAGTGGCTCAGTGGTGCTTTCAAGAACTTAGCCTTGGCCGAGTGTGGTGGTTCATGCCTGTAATCCCAGCACTTTGGGAGACCGAGGCCAGAGGATCGCTTGAATCCTGGAGTTCAAGACTGGCCTGAGCAATGCAGTGAGAACCTGTCGGTACAGAAAATAAAAACATTAGCTGGGCATGGTAGTACATGCCTGTAGTTTCAGTTACTTGGGAGGCTGAGATGAGAAATCACTTGAACCCAGAGGACTGAGGCTGCGGTGAGCCGTGATTGCGCCACTGCCTTCCAGCCTGGCTGACAAAGCAAGGCCCTGTCTTAAAAAAGCAAGCAAACAAAAAACCTAGGCTTGTTCTATTTTTCTGCTCTTTATCCTTCTCATCCTTAGGCATATCATATCTCTTGACTATGGTAACTTCAAGCATTACATCATCACACAACTGTTCGAGCCTGGATGAAAGGTAGGCCTGCTGTCTATCAGGGAGTATGCTTTTTCCCAGAAGCTCCCCCACATACTTTCTCTTACATCTCATTGCTCACATGTCTCCTTTTGTGCCAGTCACTACAAAGGGGAATGAGATACTGTGCTTGGCTTCAACCAATCTTAGATCAGGCTCTGGCAACCTGGGGAAAAGCCCACCTTCCTTAACATATTGCCCAAGCAAAACTAGATTTGCATAAACTAAAGAAAAAGGGGAAATGGCTATGGAAGTCAACCAATAGTGTCTGCTTAAGTTCAACTGGACACTGTGTGTCTAGACCATAAAATTATGCCTCTGTTTTATTTTAGTATCCATACTAGGAAAGTGTTAGCCTCAAGCTCAGTGTTTCTCAAACTGTATGTGGTGAAGAACCAGCTTTATCCCCCTCAATTCATCACAGACCAACACCAGGAAAATGAAATAAACCCATACAGATTTTAAAATATACTATACAAACCCAGAATTTTTGTTCAAAGGCCATAGTTTCTCTGTGGGATTGCTATAAAAAATGTCTAAACTCTCACAATTTCTGTCCTTACCCCAGTGTGAACCAGCATGGACCAGTAACAAACAGTTTGAAGACCAGGCTGAGTTCATGACCACACTTGTTGACTCTGCTGACTTCACAAGCTGGCCCCAGCCTGCCTCACCTGCCCCTTGTCTGCTGCTCCTTTTGTTCACCTACAACAAGCTGTTCTCTGTTACCAGAATATGCCACATATTTTGTTTCACTTCTGGAATTGACTTTATAATCTGTTCTTTCTTCTTGGAATGCCCTCCTCTAGCTGGGGAAAATTTTTTAGACCAGATTAAAAGTCACCTTCCCTGTGATGTTTTCTCATGAAAAAAATATTTTTTTAAGAGACAGGGGTCTCACTACGTTACCTAGGCTGGTCTCAAACTCCTGGGCACAAGTGGTCCTCCCACCTCAGCTTCCCAAAATACTAGGATTACAGACATGAGCCATCACGCCCCAACCTCATGAATTTTAGTTAGGTTATAGCAGTATAGTAAAAGTCCCTATGCATTGAATTATTTGCTCCCTCATCAGTGTTTTTTCTTTGAATCCTAGGTACACTTGTTTTATTGGATTACAGTTTCTGGGTCAGTATCCAGGATAGACTGAAAGTTTCTTGAAGTGATAATTATCTTATTCATCTTTATATCCCCTGTTCTTGGAACACATAGTTTGTCCTGAATAAATACCTACTGAATTGAATCAACTCAACAAATGAGAAAACTTCTGTTTCTTTCCTTTTTTCTTTCCCAGATGTTTTTTATTGTGTTCTACCTTCATGTTTGTGTATTTCCTTGTAAGAACATACCATTTTGACAGATAATACATTTTTTCTTTCCTTTTCTATCAGATCTGGACTTAAACAAGACACAACTTTTCATTGTTGTGTTCTAATCACAGGTCCTATCCTGTGGGCATCAGTTTCACTATTACTGCAGGCCACGTGTGGGGTTTTTGCACCCATGATTCTCTGACATGTATGCCACCCTAGCAACATACTCAGATTTCCAGCAGCAATAGATGAGCTTGTATATGCAGATATGTAAACTCCCAAAAGTACCTGGTAGGATGCTATTAATATATTGTAGAGAATATACAATTCAGATACACACTGACCTGGGCTTTAATCCTTATTCACAGACTGACTAGCTTTGTGGCCTTGGGCAAGTTCCTTAGCCTCTCTAAGCCTGCTTCTTCTATTAAAACAAAAAATAGGTATAGTAAGATAACATGAGAAAACAATAGTTTCTTGGTAAATGTTAGTCCCCTCTGCTGAGACAGCACATACGTGGATTGGCAGGAAAGAAGGTTGAGTGCAGTCTGGGCAGCAGGACAAGTGAACCATAGAGTTAATGGGTCTGCCTGTCTCTTTAATGGGTCAGGGCCAACCTCTTTGGCGGGTCTCCTGAGAAAGATGAGCTGCTTTGAAATTCTATCTTGGGCAGAGCCTTGGTTGCTTCTCCATTTCTGTGCTTCTGACTTCCCTGCTTACAGCTGGCAGGGACAGCTACTCTGGAAGCTCAGGGCCTGCATGTCTGTGGTAGAAGGATGAGCAGCTGCTGCTTGTTAAAGTAGGGGGGTTGTTTGGGAGGCAGGCAAGTGACATAAAAACAGTATATGGAAATCCCCAAACCCCACTGTTCAAATGACTTCAGGGGTCCAAATCATGTCCATGAAGTGGACTCAATGACATTTCTTCTCCAGACACTCCAGCTCTTTCCTTTACTGATTTTTTTCCTCTTCACTTTAGAAAGGAGGAAATACGGTATATATTTGTTGGTCAGATGATTTTAATTAGGTTGAGAAAAAAATGGCTTCCTTCAACATGCCGTGCATTTTCATACTTCTGTGCCCGTGCTTCTGCTGTTCTTGCCACTAGAAATGCTGTTCTCCCTCTACCTGCCTGGTGAATTCAACCTCTAAACCTTAAATTGGAGGCCAGCCCTTCTTTGCATCTTCCCTCCCTGATGCCACCCTTCTTTCTAGGCTGCCACCATCCTTCAAACTTAACTTGGTTGTTGCGCTTCACACACTGAACTGCCTTTGTTTTTTGAGGTCTCTTTACCCTAACGTTGAAAGTTTCTCTTGAGGATTTTTGATCCCCAAGTGCTTAGCTCATAAAAGGCACTCAATAAGTATTTGTTGAGTGAAAACATCCATATTTGACAATTTCTCATTTCTCTTAAATTTTTATCAAGTTATAACAGCATAGTAAAAGTCCTTATGGATTGAGTGCTTGATTAGTTCTGGGAGGTTACTGAGCGCCCCACCTGCACTTCAGGGGCAATAGGAGTAATGGTAGTAAGTACTGACCTAGCAGCAGGAAGAATCAAGGAGTCATTTGGAATCCATAGAGTCATTCTTTCTCCCTTCCTTTCTTCCCTCCTTCCCTCCCTCCTTCCCTCCCTCCCTCCCTTCCTTCCTTCCTTCCTTCCTTCCTTCCTTCCTTCCTTCCTTCCTTCCTTCCTTCCTTCCTTCCTTTCTTCCTTCCTTCCTTCCTTGACAGAATCTCACTCTGTCACCCAGGCTGGAATGCAGTGGCAAAATTTTGGGTCACCACAGCCTCTGCCTCCCAGGTTCAAGAGATTCTCGTGCCTCAGCCTCCCCAGTAGCTGAAACTACAGGCACCTGCCACCACGCCCAGCTAATTTTTATATTTTTAGTAGAGACAGGGTTTCCACCATGTTGGCCAGGCTGGTCTCGAACTCCTGACCTCAGGTCATCCACCCGCCTTGGCCTCCCAAAGTGTGGGATTACAGGCGTGAGCCACTGCACCCAGCCAACATTTCTTAGCTTAATGTTTGCATACTCCAGCTTTATCTCTTGGCAGCCCAAAGTAGATTCCTGGGTTCAACCAGAAGTTTCTTGAAAATTGTCAGACTTCATAGAAGTGTGGAGTTGGGAGTCATGGATCTAGTACTGTACTTCCACTTACTGGCAAACCCCTTGGGACAGAGTATTAAGTTTGATAGACTTGGGTTCAAATCCTGGCTCTGCCACTTACTATCTGTGGGAGCTTGTTACCTCTCTGAGCCTCAGTTTCTTCTAGATCTAGAAGGAGAATAGTATTTATTTTGAAGGGTTGTTGTCACAACTAACTTATAAGTGTATAAAATGCCTAATCTAGGTTTGGTACTTCATGGGTGTTTAATAGGTGGGAATTATAACTTGGAAACAGTGGAGTGGGTGGGATGATGATCTGGGCAATGTATTATTATTTGTTTACTATTACCAGATCCAGATATATGCAGGGGAAAGCCAGCTTAGAATTCAAAAAGCCGCTTTACATAGCTACTTTTGCTAAATGGATGTCAAATAAATATGTAATGATACTTGTAGTGTGACTTAATAAAGGCCTTCAGGGGTTTTCCCAGCTTTCACTGTTAGGACTTTTTCTGATAATAGTCCCACACTTTCCTACTCTGATGTGTCCTCACTCAGGAGCACTGTCTGGCTCTCCCCACAGGGAGCTGGGGACAGTTTCCTACCTGAAGCGTTGAGGTGAATTCTGTGCTCACTTTTCCTTTCTCTCTCCTTGTCTGCCTCTCTCACCCTGAGGTCTTATCTCGTCCTCTGGGAGGTATGTTAAGTGCTCTGCCAGGCTGTCTGTGCCTGGCCTGTTTTTTCTCACTGCCAGTACCTCTTGGATTCCAATTCCAAACATGGTATCCATCTGGGGTCACCCTTTCTTCCGGTGCCAAGAGAGAACACATTCCAAATGGAACACAAGTGTGCCTCCCATGCTGGCTCTCCTCATTCTGCTTGGGAAAAACAGAGAGCAGGATGTGGCCGCGTCATCCCACACTGCTGGGCTTTTCGGTCCTGTAGCGCTACTTTCCCTTGGGACTATTTAGGTTTTTCTGCTAAGAACCAAATTTGAAGACTGTCCCAAGAAACATGGAACCAAGGAAGTTTGCCAGAGCTCTGCAGGGAGAGCCAGAGCCTTGCTGAGGCGGGGGTGGGGGGGGCGGGGAGGGGGAGAGGTTGGGGGAGGAGAGAGAGAGAGAGAGAGATTTTTAAATTCTCCATGAAGTATACTATGTTCCATCACTCCTTCGCAAAGCCACTGGAAGCATTCCTTCCAGGAAAGGTGGAGTTGGTGGCGAGAAGCTGGAGGTGAGAAGAACCCTGAACGAACGGATTCATTCATTTTCTGAATTTCCTATGTGAGGACGTATTAGAGCCCAGTGAGGCTTTGAGAGGCCCCAAAGATGAGCGCCAACAGCAGCAGAGCGGGCCAGCTTCTCTCGCAGGCTTCAGCGTGCGTTAGCTGGAAGCAGGATGTGGAAGGGGCTGTCTACCATTTAGCCAACTGCCTCTTACTCCTGGGCTTCATGGGGGGCAGTGGGGTGTATGGATGCTTCTATTTTTTTGGCTGCCTGAGTGCAGGTTACCTGTGCTGTGTGCTGTGGGGCTGGTTCAGTGCCTGTGGCCTGGACATTGTTCTTTGGAGCTTCCTGCTAGCTGTGGTCTGCCTGCTCCAGCTGGCACACCTGGTATACCGCCTGCGTGAGGACACCCTTGCTGAGGAGTTTGACCTCCTCTACAAGACGCTGTGCCTGCCCCTGCAGGTGCCCCTACAGACATACAAGGAGATTGTTCACTGCTGCGAGAAGCAGGTCTTAACTCTGGCCACTGAACAGACCTATGCCGTGGAGGGTGAGACACCCATCAACCGCCTGTCCCTGCTGCTCTCTGGCCGGTAAGCTACTCTGTCCATTGCCCAGAATTTCTTTCCCCCGCCCACACTTCTCATTTCCTAGTGTGTCCCTTTCCATTTCATGTCCCATTCCATTGAGGGAAGGATGTGACAAGTCAAACAAACCAAAATAGATTTTTCTAAGAGTGGGGTTGCTTCCTCTTTCTTGGCATTTTCCAAGAAGAAACCAGTTGGTGAGGCATCTTGGTTGGCAAGAATGGTTATGTGTGCCCTTGCTGCTGGAAGGTGTGCAGCGTGTGTGTCTTGCGCCTGGGCCTTAAAGAACCCCTCTACCACCACCACACACATATCAGTGTGTCATGCCTAAGCTGCAGCAGTATCTCTGTAAGCTTTGAAAAACTAACATTTCAGTAAGGTTAATCTGTTCCTTATTCAAATTCAACATTTGCTAAGTACCAACTATATTCAGGGAACAATGCTAGAAATGGGAGATCAGGGAAGGGGGGTGGTTCTCATAATCCCTGTTCCCTGCCAAGGCATCGAGGAAACAGCCCCACTTGTGTTTGGGGTACCTGTATGCAGCCAGGTAGGGAGAGTGAATACCCCTTGCCCACCTTTCCATTTCCAATTGTTCTATTGAGGCTCTTGCAAACTAAGAAGTCAAGTACAGTACTGTTAATCTGAGGGCCTAACAATGGGAGAAGAGAAGTGATGCTTATGCTGATCTCATTAAGGCTTGTGTGGAAGCACCGCCTCTTTTGGAGAAGGCTGACAGTCGGATATGGGCAGAGATGGTCTTAGTCAGGATCAGTGTATGCCCAGTCAACCTGGATGTGAATGTTGGGCACGGATATCTTCTGAGAAAATATCACGGGGCTCTGTGCTACACACTTAGTAGGTAATTGTGGATTTTTTTGATACTGCCCTAGTGGCTCTTGAGCCCCACAACCCCCACTCCACCAGCTTTCTTGAGACCAGGAGAATGTGGTAGAAAAGGTAAGATGGCAATTAGAAGGCTCCAATTCCAAGAAAAAACAAATCGAATCCAGATAATACTGCCAACCACACAATGGGGGAAAAACGTTTGACAATGATGCTAATTGTACTACAACTACCACTAATAGTAATAATACACGTTTATGTATTCATTTATAGAACCTGAAATATCATGTATATATGTTTTGATTTTGTTTGAACTCAGAGGTCCTGGGTTGAATGAACTATGAGGGGAGACATTTTGTGGGGGTACATTTCATTTCATTTATTGGTGAACTGATAGTGTAAACCAATGTGATTATTTCTAAACAAATATAAGTGTAAATACAAATACATATAACTATTGCCAAAATGTTTGCACCTAGAGTTCCATGCTTAAAGATAATTTAGGGAACTTGCTCATTCATGAGACCCATGACGTTGTAACTCGTCTGTTCAAAGGAGGAAATTGAGACCAGCAGAAGTGCTTCCTCCAGTGTAGGGTGCTTATTTGCTGGAAGCATGTAGGGTTACTGTAGAGTTCAGGTAGGACAGATTTACTGTGGACTTGTATAAGATCACTTCCCAGTGAAGGGGAGAGGGGGGCTTGCCCTTGGTGTAGCTTTTCCTGGTATACTTAGCATCAAAAGGCCGAGTCAGAAATTAGACAATTTTGATTTTTTTTCTTGCCTTTCAAGGTTTGGAGTAAGAGTTTTGTTATCTTTCAATGTCACCCTGTCTCAGCTTTGCTGAGCTGGACATAGGGGAAAAGGCTTCTAGTCTATGACTGGGCTCTAGTTTTAAAGGAGAATCGCTGAACCCTGGGCTGGTTGCAGTAAGGGAGCAAACATCTCAAAGCAGCAGACAAGAACTTTGTGCCAGGAGGTGGGGACTCTTGTGCAGACTTCCCAATCTCACATGCACACTGTTCTCTAGAGTCCTTCACTCAAACTTCAGAAGTCATTTTGTTTTATTTTAATAAAGGAAACCAATCTAAACCAATCTCTTTCAAAACTCAAGAGAGGCAAAGTGACTTCCTCAAAGTCTGTCTCCCTGTTAAGCAGAGCTTAACTTAGACAGTTTCTCTCATATAAAATTCAAAACACAAACTTCCATATATACAACCCCCTGAGCAGGCAACTAACTATCTAAGCTATTCATATAGGAGAAGATCATCCATCATCCAGTAGATCAAGAAGGAAGAAGAGACAGATGATAAAGGGCACAGCATTCCAATTAAAATGGCTTCAGCGAGCCATGAAGACCATTAGACACTATCTACACTCTATAGTCATCACTCTTTGGTGGCTTGCCTGGGTGGCTGAAATTGCCTAAGGATCTGACAGGTGCTGCAGCAGCACCATTCTCTTCTGCTGTCTTCCTTTCCTAGGGAAGCTTTTCACTGAGGTTTTGATCCCCTTTTATTGTGACACAAGTGTGTTTGTTCCTTGGTTTCCTTTGTTGATTTATTCATCCTTCCTTTCTTGTTTCCTTCTTTCCTTGTTTTCCCCCTTCCATACATATTTATTCAGAGTGTTCCTGTCTTCCAGTTTTAGGTTGTCAGATAATAAGTGCAATCGTTTTTTAATTGGTCATGATCTTTGGTAATTTGTACACACGCATATATACCTAGGCATTCATTAAAAGGAAGGCTCAGGAGTGCTGATATCCCTTTGGCCAGGACTTATCACATGCCTATGCCTAGCAGTCAGGGAAGTAGAGAAATGTTGATTTTTGCTCTGCAGTCATGTGTCCAGTTAAAATCTAGCACCATTAAGGAAGAGAAGAAAGCAGCTACTGGAGAACAGACTGCCACACTGGATTTCCCAGGTCTTTGTTCATCCCCATGTTTATCTGCTTCTCAATACCCTTTGCATCCCTCAAAATTCAGTTCAACTGTCATCTCCTTCAAGAAGTCTGCTGCCCAAAGAGAACCAATCTCTCTCCCTCCTTTGTTACTGTTCCACAATAGCACCTATCACATTGACTTACAGTCAGTTATTTATGTGCCTGTGACTTCCACTAAATTGTGAGATCCTCAAAGACAAAGACCTGATTGTATCCATCTCTGCATTCCCAGATCTCCAGGAACATGGGAGATGCTCCATGAATGTCTGTTTAGCCAATAAATCTCCAGAAATAATGGAGGGATATCTCCACCAAATGAACAAGGTGTACCTTAGAGATCTTTTTCATCTTCCCCCTTTGCCTAATAGAGGCACCCCATTGTCCGATATAACTCACTTTAGAAGAGAGGTTAAAGATGGAACTCTTAAGTTTTCTGGGCAGTGGTTGAGAGGGAAGGATAAAGCCCATACTGGATTCTAATCTTTTTCCAGATGTGGCATCACATCTGAAATACATTCCCTGTCCTCAGGCATCGTCATACAGCCCCAAGCGTACAAAGGCAGCAAGCAGCAATAGTAAGGCTCCTAACCCCTTAAGTTGTGAAACCAAGCCTGGGGTCATGGGCCAGTCAAGAGCAATTGTTTAACCTGATGGTAGTGTGGAATAAGAATATTCATAAAATTAAAGTGAATATATTAATTAGGATTTCTGGCTGCAGACAGAAACCCACTCTAGCCAGCAGAAGGGTGTGGGGGGTGGAAAGGTCTTTATTTAAAAAGATACAAGGATTTCTCATGAAACTCAAGGAAAGACATGCACCTGAGCCTCAGGTAGTACTAGAAACAAGAACGTGTCCTACTAGGACATTTTATGTGATTTCAAGTCTATTTTCTCTATAGCCAGTTGGGACCCATGCTCTTCAAAGTCTGAGTTATGTGTCAAAAAAAAATTTTTTTTAGTTCCTTCAGGGAGGAGTATGTTAGTTTTGTTAATGTCTGATAATTGTCCCCATCCAAGGCATGATTTACATTCAATTCCATTTCCAAATTCGCAGGGAAGGAGTTTGATTGGCTCAGCTTGAGTTAGGTGTTCACCCTAGGACCATCAACTGGATAGGGTGCGTAGGATCTCATTGTCTAAAGAAACAAGCTATTATTGTCCCCTGTGGTTAGAGAGGTCAGGGAAGGGGTCATGCTGGGAGAGTCCACTACCATCTACCCAAAGCTCTAGTAATAGGGTGGCAACACAGTGTTGTGCCAAGAACATAGAATTTTGGTTCTGCCACTTGATCGCTATGTAAACTTAAGCTCGCCACTCAACCCTTCTGAGCACCAGTTTCCTTAGCTATAAAATACAGAAAAGAACAATCTACCTTGAGGTGTTGTGAACATTATATAAGAGAACACTGGTAAAGTGTCTAGCAGAGTCTGGCATATACTAGACTTGCCACTTCCTTCAAAGTCTACAAAGTGGTTAAATGTAAGCATGGATCTTCACGTAGCTAATGGGAAGGAAGAAAGGAGAATCTGTGGGGCAGTGGCATCCAACAGAGCTTCTGTGATGACGGAAATGTTCTAGATCTGTGTTGTACAACATGGTAGTCACAGGCCATATGTGGCTGTTGAGCACCTATAATGTAATTAGGTAAGGAACTGAATTTTTAATTTTATTTAGTTTTAATTAGTGTAAATGTAAACTTAAATAGGCAGCAGCGTTCTTTTCTCTTTTTTTGAGACAGAATTTTGCTCTTTTGCCCAGGCTGGAGTGCAGTGGTGTGATCTCGGCTCACTGCCACCTCTGCCCCCGAGTTCAAGTGATTCTCCTGCCTCAGCCTCCTAAGTAGCTGGGATTGCAGACACTCACCACCATGCCTGGCTAATTTTTGTACTTTTAGTAGAGATGGGGTTTCACCATCTTGGCCAGGCTGGTCTCGAACTCCTGACCTCAGGTGATCCACCTGCCTCAGCCTCCCAAAGTGCTGGGATTACAGGTGTGAGCCACTACACCGGGCCAGCAGCAGAGTTCTTGAGCAGTAGTTTCCATCCTGGCTACACATTAGAATCACTGGGGAGATGTAAATACTAGTAATATCCAGATCCTACCTAGAGAGATTCTTGTTTCATTGCTCTGGGATAAGGCCCAAGCCTAGGTGCTTTTTTAAAAGCTTCCCTGGGGCTTCTACTCTGCAGCCTGAAATTGAGAACCACCAGTAAGGAGAAGGAGGAGGAAAATGAGGGTTCAGGAAGTCTCAATGGGTTCCATTTCTGAACTATTTGCATGCAGTAACTAGGCTGGCTAGTCTAGCTTTGGGTTTTGCCATGCTTTAGGCAAAGTATTTCTACAGGAAGATTCGTGTTAATCAGCGACACCTAACTTCAGAATAGATGACTTGGAGAGCCATTTTCCTTTTCCCACATGATCTCTTCTCTTCCCTTGCCAGGGTTCGTGTGAGCCAGGACGGGCAGTTTCTGCACTACATCTTTCCATACCAGTTCATGGACTCTCCTGAGTGGGAATCACTACAGCCTTCTGAGGAGGGGGTGTTCCAGGTAACAGGGAGCCCCGTGGCAGCACCGCCTCACCCCGTCCCACTGTAGCCTAGCAGTATCCGTGCCTCCATGTTTCCCCTCTCACATCTGCCCTTTGCACCACTGCCAGTGTAAAGCTACAGGCCGGGGCACTCTTCCTCTGTGAAAAGAGTTCCTGGGCTCCTAGCCAAGGTGAGGCAGGGTAGGAAGATACTGGCCCCTGGGTAGACCATGTTACTTGAATGCTTAAACTCTTCTGGAAGACTCTAGTGCCACAAGATAAAAACCCACACTCCTTACAGGGTAACTTAACCCTTTTAGTGCTCTCTAGCCACATTCCCAGCTCTCCCTCCTTCATATTTTTTGCTCATACTAGCCATGCTGAACCACTAGTCCTTACCTAAACACACCACATTGTTTTGCAGCTCTGTGCCTTGGCCCCTACTCTCCCCTCTGAAATGCATTTCCCTTTCTAGATGAGACCACGGCACCTCACTTCCTCTGTGAAAACTGCCCGAATTGACCTCACCAACATCCACCCCACAGCCTAGTGCTCCGGTGTGCCTGTTCTAGTCCTTTTACTTATGCTAACTGGTGCACATCTTGCTCTCTGTTCTAATAATCTGGTCTCCTTTCTGTCTTCTGTACCGTGAACTCCTTGAAGTAAAAATCTAGGCTTTTCCTTCTCTGTTCCCAGACTCTAAAGGAAAGTACCTGGAGCACAGCAGCTGTTCAGTAAAGAATTGCTGGCTGGGCGTGGTGGTTCACACCTGTAATCCCAGCACTTTGGGAGGCTGAGACGGGAGGATCACGAGGTCAGGAGATTGAGACCATCCTGGCTAACACAATAAAACCCCATCTCTACTAAAAATACAAAAAAATAGCTGGGCGTGGTGGTGGGTGCCTGTAGTCCCAGCTACTCGGGAGGCTGAGGCAGGAGAATGGCGTGAACCCGGGAGGCAGAGCTTGCAGTGAGCTGAGATTTCACCACTGCACTCCAACCTGGGTGACAGAACAAGACTCTGTCTCAAAAAAAAAAAAAAATTGCTGAACTGGTTTGCCACTGGGCAGCTGATGTCCCAGAGGACTCCATGGGGCATTCACATACATGCTTCAATGCAGGTGCCTGGCTGCCTGGCCCCTACTCTTCTTATCTCTGCCAATCCCTCAGGCTTTGGTCACTTTCTCTTTAGCTCTCACTTATTGAATGGCTAGCATGTGGCAGGCACTACATATCATATTGCCTCATTGGTTCTCACAACAACTCTATGGGTTGAATATGATTATTAGCCCATTTAACAACTGAGGAAACTAATGCCCAAAAACATCAAGTAATTTGCCCAGGGTCTTCAGCTAGAAAGTGACAAAGCCAAGTTGCCTGGATCTACCATTTCTGTTCTTTATTAAAATGGGAGGGTCACCAGAGGAGTGCTGTTTACACACACACACACACACACACACGCACACGCATGCACACACATGCACACACACTCACTCACCCCTTTAAGGACTCCCCTGCCTGGATAGTTTGCTGGAACTGGAAACACTGGGTTCCATGTGTCTCCTACTACTTTTATCAGGGAGTCCCTCAAACCAACATATGAGCCAACCCCGGAACAGACACACACAGGCATTGCTACCTGGCAGGGCCTGCTTCCGCCCCCACCCTGACACTTAGCTCTGTGATAATAATGGAGCCTGAGAGGCAGTCCTGATCCCACTGCCAGGGCACACAGCCGCAGATCCACTTCCATCATGTTCCTCCCTGACCTCCCTCCACACACCCTCTCTAACTAGCCCAGAAACCTTCTTCAGGAACTCTCTCAGGCACATGAGAACCTCTAGGAGGGCTGAGTCAGGACCTGAGCCAGCTGGACCGGGGCTCTTTCTGACACTGACACGGAGGAACAGGTGGTAGGTAAGCCGGGTGTCCTCCCCTAAGTTACGCTCAAGAGGAAGGGCTGTAACCCCACATGGCCTCTCAGCCTGGAATGTAGGTGCGGTCATATTCCTCCCATTTATATTTTTAGTGTGCACCTCCTTTGGGAGCAATGAGAGCCACACATTTGCTATTGGCTGTGTAAAGTCCCATTTCCTCTTTGCAAATGTCAAGTGTTATCTTAAGTTAGAGTTCATCCTGTCCTTGCCTTTTGCAATTACATAGTCTTTGTTGACAGAGCAATCCACAGTGACAGCCTAAATTACAATTCACATTGTACTTAATACAAATCAATCAGCATTCCACCACACCTCTCAACAATTCAATTAAGTCAGAATGCATTGTGTGTTCAGCACTGTGACACTCATTAGTCACCGAGAACACAGCACAGGAGGGATCACACAGACATCATCACTGTTTTTCTAATTTGCATCCTATCTTACTGGACTTAAGTCCTATTTACATAGGTTATCTCATTTACTTCATTCAACCATCCTGGCCAACATGGTGAAACCCCATCTCTACTAAAAATACAAAAATCAGCCAGGCACAGTGGCAGGTGCCTATAATCCCAGCTACTTGAGAGGCTGAGGCAGGAGAATTGCTTGAACCCAGGAACTGGAGATTGCAGTGAGCCGAGATCACGCCACTGTATTCCAGCCTGGGTGACAGAGCAAGACTTCGTCTCCGGTGGGGAGAGGAAGGGAGGAAAGTGACATTAGGTTGTTTTGCAATATACAACATTGGCTGTCTTCCCTTGATTCGTTTATTCACTTCAGTTATATTTATTGAAAACTTAGTATGTACCAGGCACTGTTAAAAGGGCTTGAAATATATCAGTGAACAGAACAGATGAAGGTCCCTCCCCTCATGAAATTTACATTCTCATAAGGGAGTCAAAAAGCCATAGGCATAATGAATAAGTAAATTATATAATATGTTAGAGGACAATAACTGCTAGTTAAAAAAAAAGAAACCCTAGAGTAGTATAAGGGAGATATGATTGCGATTTTAAATAGGGTGGTCATGGAAATCCTTGTTAAGCAGGTAACATTTGAGCAAAAACCTGAGAGAGGTGACAGGTGAGGTCTGTGAATATCTGGGAAAAGCGTATCAGACAGAGGAAAGAGCCAGTGCAAAGGCCCTGAGGTGGGGCCAGTGGTGTTTGACTCACAGAAAGGAGGACAGTGGACCTGGAATGGAGAGAGGAAGGGGAGGGAATAGCAGGAGAGAAAGTTGGAGAGGTGATGAGGTAGCAAGATTATGTAGGGCCATAGCATATATTGTCTAGATACAGCCAAAAGGATTTTCTAAAGGGTTGGATATAGTATGTGAGAGAAAGAGAAGATCAAGGAAGACTCTAAGGCTTTTGGCCTGAGCAACTGGACGGGTGATGCTGCTGTCATCTGAGATAAAGAAAGCTACAGGTACAGCTGCTTTCAGGGGACTAGGAAGTTCAGTGTTTGATGATCTGTGGACATTTGGATGGAGATGCTACATAGGCAACTGGATATTTAAGTCTGGAATTCAGGAATGAGATCTGGGCCTGAGATATAAATTTGGGATTTGGTTGTATACAGATGATATTTAAAGCCATTGGATAGGATGAGCTCACCAAGTGAGTGAGTGTGGATGGAAGAGGGAATAGTTCAAGAGGGGAGTCCTGGGATACTTTAGTGGTAAGGAGTTGGAGAGAAAAGGAGAAAGCAGCAAAGGAACTTGAAAAGGAACAATCATGAGATTGGACCAGGAGCGTATGGCATCCTGGCAACCAAGAAAAGAAGGTGTATTAAAGAGGAGGGGGAAATTGATGGATGCCATGAAAAGTGACCATCAGACTCAGCAGCTTAGAGGTCATTGGTGACCTTAACAGGAACAGTCTTTGTGGACTGCTAGGGACAAAGTCTTATCGGTTTAAGAGAGTGAGAAGAGAGGAATTGGAGACAGTAAGTATAAACAGGTTATTTTTTCTTTATGAGCTTTGCTAAAAAGGGAAGCAAATTAGTGGAGTGATAGCTAGTCAGGGAAATGAGGTCAAGAAAAAGAATTTTTATTTGTACAATTTTGTTTTATTTTAAGATGGAAGAAGTAACGGCATATTTCTCAGAAGGTTCACAGTCTTTGTGTTGACTTTAAGGACATTATTTACATTCAGCTTAGCTCTTGCTCAAACACACCTGCTTCATATTTGGTACTCATTTCTTGTTTGGGAATTGTTCATAAGTACATCTAAGGTATAGGCTATGGCAGATTGTGACAACTATTTGCTGAACTATTAGTCATGGACAGATTGTATTATTTTCAGAATTATTTCTCACGAGGCAAGAGAGATTAAGTAATTTATCTGACATCATACAACTGATAGAGGTAAAGTTGAAACATGAAACCACTTCTGGCCTTGATAACGTAGTTTACATCCTGATTGCAGTGCTAACAATTAGTGGGGAAAAGTTGAGAGGAGGAAATGAATAAAGGATGTGGGGGAGGGGTATAGCAGAAAGGAAGGAAGAGGAGGTTAGTGGGAGATCTGGTAGGCAATGCAGGAATGAAAAGGATTATATATAATCTCTAATAAAGAATGTTTGGAAAGCTACCCTACCTTCAATTTGACAATTCATATAAACTACTTAACACAATGCCTGGCACCTCTTGACAAATGTTAGCTGCTAACATCATTATCATCATTTCCACTGTCTCTATCCACAAAAATACATCATGAACTCTGCCAGCCCAAAGTATTAGGGTCAATTAGATTATTAAAAATTGTGTGATTCTGCACCCTTTTCCTGCACTGTCCTAAGCATGTTTCCATTTTAACCCCAGCTTTACCACTCATCATTATTGTAACAAGGATTTATCACGCATCTGCTGCATGCCAGGCACACGTTATTGTTTATTTCCCATGCAAACGTAATTTAGCTTTGCATCATGGGCACATAGTGAGTGCTCAGAAATTCCTAGAGGAATAAACAAATGGAGAATGGGGTGCCCTTTGATTTTCTGTCCTTTAGAGTTTGTCTTCCTCTACGCCCTTTTTTCTGATTTCAGTCATCAGATCCTTTTGGTTACTTGAAGTGGCCAAGTTAAGAGCAATTTCATGGACCCAAATCCCAGGCCCATGCTTCATCCACATGATGTAGCTTGGCATACCTCATCAGAAGCTTTTTCTCAAACTGAACTTTCTAGCTCTTTTTGTGTCCCTACCCCAATATTTTATCCTTCCTCAGTCTTAACATGAATAGTTGTCAGCATTTCAACCACTCTTCAGAGCACCAGAAGGCCCTTTCTTTCTCTATCTCAAAATCATAAGACTCAGAACCTTCTGCAGTCACTAGTACCATTAGCCATGGAACCACAGAATTGGAGCTGAGGAAAATGGGTGAGGAACCTGAGGCTCCAGGAAGTGATGGGTGAGTGAGTGAATGGCTGATCCCAGGGTTCCTGATACTAAACACCCCCATATCAGTGCACACAAGTGAAAGTCATCTACTAGACCTCCTTCAGGCAAGGTCATAGAGGGGTACTCCCACACAGCTTCTTCAGTACAAGTACAGCTGTTTTCCAAGTGACTGTATGGTCTCTGCGCTCAGCATGGACACATTTTCTAGTTTAAACCTTTACTGTCTGCTTCTGACCCCTCTCAGGTCACTCTGACTGCTGAGACCTCATGTAGCTACATTTCCTGGCCCCGGAAAAGTCTCCACCTTCTTCTGACCAAAGAGCGATACATCTCCTGCCTCTTCTCGGCTCTGCTGGGTTATGACATCTCAGAGAAGCTCTACACTCTCAATGACAAGCTCTTTGCTAAGTTTGGGCTGCGCTTTGACATCCGCCTTCCCAGCCTCTACCATGTCCTGGGTCCCACTGCTGCAGATGCAGGACCAGAGTCCGAGAAGGGTGATGAGGAAGCCTGTGAGCCAGCTGCGTCCCCTCCTCAGGCCACGCCAACCTCTCTCCAGCAAACACCTCCTTGTTCTCCCCCTCCAGCTGCCACCAACTTTCCTGCACCTCCTTCCCGGGCCAGGTTGTCCAGGCCAGACAGCGGCATCCTGGGTGAGGACTCCACCAGTCTGGTGCTGGAGGATTTTGAGGAGGTGTCAGGATCAGAATCATTTATGGATTATAGGAGTGATGGGGAGTACATGAGGTGAAGGGAGAACTAACATGGGCACAGCCACCGGCTCAGGATCCTATGTAAGTACTCAAAAGGCAGCTGCCGCATATTCCTGTCAACGGCTGGCCTTAACTCAGCTTATTAGGGCAAAAAAAAAAAAAAAAAAAAAAAAAAATCATTTGTGGAACATCTCCTCTTAGAGGACTCACAGAAAGTGGCATTAACCCAACTTTGCGGATAGCAACTCACTCCGGGTGCATGCAAGGCATGAAGGGATTTTAAAAACTCATTCATTATTAACTGTGATTGCATTTTGGAAAGTGGGCTGGTTGATATGTTGAGCCAGGAAGGTAGATTGCTAAGCATTTTTGCAAGTTTGTTCTAATAGCTGAGGCCACAGCTGGAGTTAAAGGGGCTTTTATTTGTGGCATGCATTTTAAAAGAAAAAGAATGTGGCAGGGTTCTAATTCCGATTGCTTGTCTTTCCTGGTATAGAGCCCGTCCTGGAAAGCAGTTGTTATTTAGCCTAGACTGGGCAGGCATCTCTATTAAAATTGCATATTTTAAAGAGAATTGTGATTATGGGCTAATAGCTCGGGGAGGAAAATGTCCTCATCTTGCTTTCCTCTCACCCAGTGAAGAATGTGTTTGTTGATCACACAGACAGAGGACTCGATACTGCTATGAATAAATGTTACTATGATCAGATAGGTATATGGCAGCCTGGCTTTCCCGTCACCCACACCTGTGGGAGGTAGGATGTGTATAAATCCTGGAGGGCCTCACGGTGCGTGCAGGATTTCCCTCACAGAATTTCCCTCCCCAGAGAGTCCACAAGAAAGTCTGTGCCCAGTGGTTCTGGGAAATTGCTCTCGTGTTCCCCCGGCCCCCTCACAATGCTGTGACGTTTTTTTCTGTAAATCCACCCAACCATGATGTAGGCCTGAATTTCCTGAGGAAAATCCCATTGTTCCAATTTGGAAGGCGCTTCCCACTGTTCTTTAGAAAGCACCAATAAATTACCTGAGAAATTAGCCCAGTGAGGAAGGTCTCCAGAGTACATGAAATGAATGAATGAATGTTTGTCTCTTCTGAAAAACAGGTTATATAAACGATGAAAGAGGGCCTGGAGGTGACTGATGAAAGGTTAGAGATTTGGTTTTGTAGATATGGAATTTACAATCTCCTGTGTTACCAGCGTCCTTAGAACCATAGTTCAGCTGATTCTGAGGTAATTCCAAGGATCAGTCTAACATTCCAGATCACTTTGTTGAGTTCCTCCAAGTGTGTATTGGCCACTCTGATCACTCCTTTCCCGCTGCGCAGCTGTTCGCCTTCCTACTCATTCATCCTGCACCCACGCATGCTCCTTATGACCTGTGGATCCCTCTTGGTCCAACTTGCCCATCCACCTATACACTCTCTCTTGGACTCACAGCAGCTCTGTTTTCTCATGTTGTTCTTCCTGGTTTTCTTCTCTTTCCTTGGTTCTATTTTTCTCTTCTTTCTTCTCCAATTTCTTCTTAGTCCTTGATTCCTTGATTGTCTCCATTTGCTGTTTTTTTTTTTTTTTTTTTTTTTTTTTTCCTTTCCTTTCTTGAGACAGGGTCTCACTCTGTTACTCAGGATGAAGTGCAGTGGCACGATGTCAGCTCACTGCAGCCTCTACCTCCAAAAGTTCAAGTGATCCTCCCACCTCAGCCTCCCAAGTAACAGGGATTACAGGCACATGTCACTGTGCCTGGATAATGTTTAATTTTGAAATGTTTTTTGTAGAGACAAGGTCTCCCCATGTTGCCCAGGTTGTTCTCGAACTCCTGGGCTCAAATGATCCTCCTGCCTTGGTCTCCCAAAGTGCTAGGATTACAGGCATGAGCCAGCTTACCTGGCCAGTTTGCTGCTCTTAAGTGTCCATTTTCTTCCGTCTTCTCAGTTTATTTCTCCCTCTTCAGTTGTCTCTTGTTTTCTTCCATTTTATTGTTCATATATTTATCTCTCCTATTACCTCCTTTTTTCTTTCCCACTTTTTTTGCCTTGCTCTATGTATTCTTCCTCCTAAACACCCTGTACCCCCATCTTATTAGTTTTTAATCCTAACTCTTCCAAAGATCAGTACTTTTCCCTCTGCCTATAAAGAAAACCATGCGGCCGGGCGCGGTGGCTCAGGCCTGTAATCTCAGCACTTTGGGAGGCCGAGGCGGGCGGTTCACGAGGTCAGGAGATCAAGACCACCCTGGCTAACACGGTGAAACCCCGTCTCTACTAAAAATACAAAAAAATTAGCCGGGCGTGGTGGCGGGCGCCTGTAGTCCCAGCTACTCAGGAAGCTGAGGCAGGAGAATGGCGTGAACCCAGGAGGCAGAGCTTGCAGTGAGCCGAGATCTGGCCGCTGCACTCCAGCCTGGGCGACAGAGTGAGACTCCGTCTCAAAAAAGAAAAGAAAAGAAAAAAAACCATTCAAGTGAAGGTGTAAAATCCCCAACTTCAGGAATATTTTTCAAACATCAGGAGGCAGACAGCACGGTAAATGAGAAAGAGACCAGGACTGGGAATCCAAAGTCCTGGCTTCTATGTCTGGCTTTGCTACTAATCAAATACGTGACTTTTTTGCAAACCATACAACCTCTCTAAACCTTACTTTCTTCGTTTGAGCGTGTTGGACCAGCTGTCGCCAGGAACCCTCTTGGATTTATCTGAGAAGGCAAGGATAAGTTTTTCAAAGGAAGAAAAGAGGAGCAGTCAGACCGCAGTTCAGTAGACACGAGCCCCAGGACATCTGAGTGTCTTTCAGCAAGAACTCTCTGCGGTGTTTCACTACAGTTTCTCTGCCACCTTGGGACTCTCCCCCACCCTTGTGGTGGTGGGTCTTGCTTCACTAGAAGTTCCCTCCATTCTGTGGCTGTGAAGAATCTATCACTTACCATGTGATTGCAGTGAAGATTCTCTCTCTCTCTCTCTCTCTCTCTCTCTCTCTCTCTCTCTCTCTCTCTCTCTCTCTCTCTTTCTTTTTTGAGACAGTCTTGCTCTGTCTCCCAGGCTGCAGCGCGCTGGCGCTGTAAGCTTCGCCTTCCGGGTTCACGCCATTCTCCTGCCTCAGCAGGAGACTCCGGAGTAGCTGAGACTACAGGCGCCCGCCGCCACGCCCGGCTAATGTTTTTGGTATTTTTGGTAGAGACAGGGTTTCACCGTCTCCATCTCCTGACCTGGTGATCCGCCTGCCTCGGCCTCCCAAAGTGCTGGGATTACAGGCGTGAGCCTCCGCGCCCGGGCTACAGTGCAGATATTTTATGTGAGAGGAGATCACAACTCACTCCCCAAGCCCTCAACCCTTAATACATACATGCCTCTTTCCAAATTCAACCTTTTCTAAAACTCAAGATGAGAAAACTGCTGATGAGGCTCACTTTCTAAAATACCGGAATTTGCAATATGGAGAGAATAGGTTTTTCATGTTTCTTTGTTTAAGCAATAGAGAGAAAAGAAAATTATGTTGTTTACTTTTTAGGCCATAGAGGTTTTCAGAACAACTTGAAAACATGATCAAATTAGCCAAACTTCTGACAGTTTTCAATGTAGTCTGTGATAATGGGATAATTTAGCCTCAGTTCTTTTTCTGGAATTGTGTTTTGAATGTTTGGTTTTACTTATTTACCATCAAACTTGCTGTAAGGTTATTACTGTAACTAATAGGCCTATTCCCTTATGATTGGGAGCAATTTACTGTTGTTTCTTTCACAAAGTACGGCACCATTCACTATCTATTTCCTGGCTCTTTAGTTATCAAAATTTTAAGCTCATTGCTATTCATCCCATCACAGCACTTATATGAGAGGCATGAAGCTGGCTGAATTCTTCATCATTAGGGATGACACAGTCTCATTACATTGATACCAGCGCTTGTCTCTCACACCAATCCAAATTAAGACCAACTGAAAATAGCCAAAGTTTCCTCTTGAACTCCTTGTTGAAGACACATACGTGTTTTAGTCTGGTGGTACCCAAAATTGAACAAAAAAATGGGTGCTGCTTCTCTTAACAGTCAAAATTATGCTGCAGGATAATGTATTCATGCAGGGTCTTCCAGTCAGACCCCAAATTATCACTGCCTTCACTAGAATTTTTCTGTTTAATTCTATGGCCACTCTCCACAGGAATCCATTCTGTGTCTTACTTATAGGAGATGCTCAGTGAATGAAGGATTTATCTTCTAGCAATGCAGCTCCGATGTAGGCTGTTGAGTGAAATAATGAATCCATTATCACAGACTAAATTGAAAGATGTCTGACATCTGGAGGATTTTAATTTTGTTTCACATTGTTCTGAAAACTCTGTGGCCTGGAAAGCGAAAACTGTGCTGTTTCTTTTCTCCCTATTATTTAAATAAACAAATGATGAACAGATTACAAAATGGAGGACGCTCGAGGTAAGGGAAGGAGCCCTTCGACAGGAGGATCAGGACATAGTACCAAGGGCCAGAGAAATGATTCGATAAACACTTACTATTTACCATATATTTCAGGCATGGTTCTAGGTAATCACATGATAAGTAGTTGAAAGAACTGAAAATGTTTAATCTGCAAGAAAAGGGCAAATGTAATATCTTCAAATTTTAAAAAGAATGTGAATTAGAACTTGACTTAATTTGGTGTAGTTTTTGTGGGCAGAAATTGAATGGCTGAAAGTTACAAGAAGGATTTTAGCTTAGTATTGATACTGGATTGTTCATGGGTAGTGAGAGTTACTCCTCACTGGAACAGTTCAAGCAGGGGCCAAAAGAAATCTCAGAGATTTTATAAGGTGATTCACGCTCTGGGGAAAGGATGCCTTGGATTATTGCTGTTAGAGTACCTTCTAACTCTAGGATTCTTTGGTTCTAAGATCTGGACTCTAGCCTGGCCATTCACCTGCCATCAAGAGCAGGTTCCTCATCTGAAGGACAGGACCAAGATGTGTCTGTCTACCTTACCGGGTTGCTGTGAGGAGCGATTGTGATAAAATACATAAAGGCAGTTTTTAAGCTGTGAAGCACTAGTTAAATGTGTAGCGTATTTTAAGAGTCTGCCGGGCGCAGTGGCTCAAGCCTGTAATCCCAGCACTTTGGGAGGCCGAGACGGGCGGATCACGAGGTCAGGAGATCGAGACCATCCTGGCTAACACAGTGAAACCCCGTCTCTACTAAAAAATACAACAAAAAAAAAAAACTAGCCGGGCGAGGTGGCGGGCGCCTGTGGTCCCGGCTACTCGGGAGGCTGAGGCAGGAGAATGGCGGGAACCCGGGAGGCGGAGCTTGCAGTGAGCTGAGATCCGGCCACAGCACTCCAGCCTGGGTGACAGAGCGAGACTCCGTCTCAAAAAAATAAATAAATAAATAAAATAAAAATAAAAAAAGATTCTGTTGTATGTACAATTATTTAGCAGTCTCTCTTTCTCTTTCTCTTTCTTTTATCAGAGATAGATGATTTTCCCTCTTATTTCCCCCAGTTTGGCTTTTCAGGGAAGGTGGCAGCTGGCAGAATCCCCTGACAACAAAAGGCACAGCAAAAAGTGGAGGCCTAAAGAAAACATGTGCTAGCCCCTTAGCCTCTGAATAACGAAGTCACACCCCAGTCTGCTCTCCTTCATCTGTTTGGGAGGAGGCAGATTAGAGTCATCAGGCTCTTCCCCTCAGAAGCAGCTGTAAGGTATTTGGTAGCTGTCAGTGCTAGCAAACAGTACTTTTCTCACAGAACTACTGGAAAGAGTCCTGGCACAGAAAACTTGCTCTTGAAAGTGACACGGCCACAACAGTGGTCTCTAGAGGGTTGTGCCACCTCTACCTGCCACAGGTTCCATTGTCAGTCAGGTAAGTTAGGAGGCAGCAGGTCCTCACCTGCCCTCTGGATCACAGCAGCCTGGGGCTGCTCCCAACTCATGTTTCCACTTCTGCCTTACAGGCCTCATTTTCCTACCCATCTTTCTGTAAAAATGAAAGTCAGGAGTCTTATGAAACTTACCATTATTCAATACAGGCTTTTGGTTTTTTTCTTTAAATTAGATAGGGTTAGGTAAGAAGTAGAGTTCTGTAGAATGTTCATAGGAAGCAACAAAAGTTGATCTCTTGATCTCTACAATAGGAGAGGATTGGGCTAGATAACTTCAAAGCTGACTTGCCCTAATATTCTAGTACGAAATGATTCAAAGGTACACCTGCCCCTCTCATGTCAGGCAGTAAGTACAGCTAAAACACTAGGAATTGATAGAGGAAAAGAAAAAAATTGAAAAGAACCCTTTGAAGTTAGACAAACGGTCCAGAGACATAGTGCTAAAATCCTCCCTCTTTTTCTTTCCACAGCTTCTAGAATTCCTCTCCAGAGCTACTCTCCAGTTATATCCAGGGGACAGGCCCCTTTGGCTCCAACCCACACGCCTGAACTTTAAGGATCATTGGACTGTCTTCTCTGTGACCGGCACAGCTCTCTTCTGTGTTCACAGAATGGCCACTGATAGGCACGCCTCTTTCCCCACCCACTGGAAGGCTCACAGGCAAGGTGAGAGAGGACACAGAAGGTGCCAACACTGTCGCTATAGTAAGGACCTTGAGTGACTTTGAGAAATTCACCCTCGCAAGCCTTCCTTCAGGAGCAGGCATTGGAAGTGCAGAGGCGCAGATTCCATTCTTTACCAGCTGCAGAATCTTGGGCAAGTTGCACGGCCTCTGTGAGCCTCATCGGTAAACAGTGGGGGTAATGAAACCCACCTCACAGGGTTGTTGTGAGGATCCGATGAGTTGATTTAGGTAAGCACCTAGCACATGGCGTGGCACCAAGTAAGCACTCAATAAATCACTCAGTTCCTTTCCCTATGTTGTTTCTTTGCATTGTCTGAAAGGATCAGTGGAGTCAAAGATCCAGCTTTTCACTGGTGATTATTTTTTATTTTTCAATTAAGATTTAAATTTATGGAAGTCGAAATTTAAAAACCTCGTTTTCCCTTAGACTGTGACATTTAACTTATATCTCTTTTTCTATTGATGAACCTAGTATTAAACAATAGTTTTTAGAGGAACTTCTACAAACTTAGTTTATTAGGTTTTCTTAAACACCTTAAAGTAGATTTATAAATTTAATATATTCTATTTTCCTTTTTCTTTAAACACTTCAACAATATTTCAGTTATCTATTGCTGTGTAATATCAATCCCTAAAATAGTGACTTAAAATAGTCCTAATAATTTGTTGTGCCCATGAGTGTGGGGCCTGACTGGGCTCAGCTAGGCGGTTCCCACTCAGGGTTTCTCATGTTGTTTCAGTCAGATAGTGGTTCAGTCTAGAATCATCGCTAAGGCTTCTTCACTCACCTGTCTGGGAAGACTCAAACAGCTGAGAGCTGAAACAGCTGGGAATCCTTGGACATCTCTCCCTCTCAGTAGCTTTTTCGTTTTTGTTGCTGTGTACTCTTTGCATCACTATACCACAATTTATTTATCCAATCTACAATTGATGGGCATTTGGATAGTTTCCAGCTTGGGGCAATTACAAATAGTGCTGCTATGAACATTCTTGTACATGTCTTTCGGTATACATATGTATACATATCTTGGATATATACCTAGGAATGGAATTACTCAGGCATTGGGTAACCCCAGAGGGCTGTTGTGGAGAGTAACCAAAGCAATAAACAAATAACAAAAAAGTACACTGGGCCAGGTTCAGTGGCTCACACCTATAGTCCCAGCACTTTGGGAGACCGAGGCAGGTGGCTCACTTGAGGTCAGGAGTTCAAGACCAGCCTGACCAACACGGTGAAACCCCGTCTGTACTAAAAAAATACAAAAGGTAGCTGGGCGCGGTGGCAGGCACCTATAATCCCAGTTACTCGGGAGGCTGAGGCAGGAGAATTGCTTGAATAAGCTGAGAGGCAGAGGTTGCAGTGAGCCAAGATTTGCACCATTGCACTCCAGCCTGGGCAACAGAGCAAGACTCCATTTCAAAAAAAAAAGTACACTGTACACTGTAAATTGAGAGTCAACATAACCTGGATGTGGTGCCACTGCCCAACCTGGAGGATCACCAAGGCAGGGCTGTCATTACACACCTATGGCATATAGCAGTGGTTTCTCAAGATGAGGACCTCTTTAATCCCTTTTCTCCTCCAAAGAATCAGACCTTACATTATCGAAGCTGTGCTTTTATTATCTAATGGTGTATGTAAGGCAAAAGACATTTGGATTTCAGTAGGATTTTTAGATAAATTTACAGGTTTTAAAAATTCACCACAACAGTCTCTTTATATATTTGAAAAATAGCATTACATATATGTATAAAGCAAAAACCCGTGAGAGACCATGGGGAGAAGAATTGCCTGGAGGGGGAAACTAAGTCCATCTCCAATGTTCAGTACCTCTTCTCTTTCTGTTTTTCTTTTTTTGAGACGGAGTCTCGCTCTGTTGCCCAGGCTGGAGTGCAGTGGCACAATCTTGGCTCACTACAAGCTCTGCCTCCTGGGTTCACGCCATTCTCCTGCCTCAGCATCCTGAGTAGCTGGGACTACAGGCACCCGCCACCACATCTGGCTAATTTTTTGTATTTTTAGTAGAGACGGGGTTTCACCGTGTTAGCCAGGATGGTCTTAATCTCCTGACCTCGTGATCCGCCCGCCTCGGCCTCCCGAAGTGCTGGGATTACAGGCATGAGCCACCGCGCCTGGCCGCACCTCTTCTCTTTCTATTTTTGACACCCTGTAGACACCCATACAAATCTTGAGGTAGAAGTGAAAACAATACTGTCAGCAGTTTTACGTCTGTCGTTGTCTTTGATTTCATGCACTGACATGTGCCTCCTACTCGGAAATTTATCTGGTGATTATACTTTATTTCACTGTGGTTCACTTCTGTGATATCATCCTTCCTGAAAGTGTCTTCACCCAGCACATGATCACCAACTGTCACATGATTGCGTCACTGCCACAGGGGAGCCCAGGACACAGCACAGAAATCAGCTTAGTCCAGCCTGTAAACTGAGCCTTTGCTTAATAGCCTGGAATTGCCCTCCACCCCTCAGCCCTCAGACTTGAAATCCTATTCACCCCTCAAACCTAATACACATGTCCTCTCCCTATGCACACTCTCCTGGCCTTCACCTCGCCCTCAGCATTGACCAATCCCCTTCAGGACTCGCAGAGTCCTCTGGGGCCACCCCCCTCAGCTCTCATCCCTTGCTAGGCACTTGAGGGCTGGGGAAGTCTTACTTATTTGCTGTGGCCCCAGCACCTCACACAGGGCCACTTGTGTGACATTTAGTTGGTAATGCTTCAATGTTGGTTAAACTCAGCTGTTAACTGCTAGTAGGACAATTCATGTGCGCATTTCGGCAAGGGTAAGGTTAACACTTGGGGTTTTAGAGATTTCTAGTTCCACTTTCCAGTTTTCTTTTCTTCTCTCCCTATTCAAACCAGCACGAAAAGAGAGTAGTAGTTCAGGGGTTGGTGCCAAAATCCAGAGCCTTATCAGGGGGAATACACAAGAAGGGACAGATCTCAGATGCATTTTAAGATATTGAGAGACAGAGTCTGAGTATAAATTGGGGGAAGGAGGCAAACGGCTTTAAAAAAATTTTTTTTTTAGCACTGTGATGTTCTGAGTCAAAGATGACTCAGGCTTCAAGCCTGGATGATTGGATCGTGGTGGCAGCTATTACCATAAAAAGTGGAGGAATAACTGGGGAAGATGTTGATTTCCTTTTGGATGGATTGAGTTTTGACTCTTGTCAGGACACTAAGTGGACACAGAAATGCAAACAGTTGTTTTCATAGATGAGGGTAAATGCTAAGGATCAGAGAGGATTCCAAGGCCTTCTTAGGGCCTAGGAAGACTCAGGCACTGGATACTCTCATCACCCCCATGTTCTTCTTAAGGGTACGAAACCTACCTCCTCTGAGATGGTGGGGCAGGGGGGAGTTGTGATGGTCATCCCAGGGCTTGGGGTGTGCCCAAGAGTGAGATCAGATATGTGTTTGTGGCTGTGGGGAGCAGCATATGTCACTTTCAGAATGTCAGACTTGGGACCACTCAACCAGGAGATCAAGGGCTGGGTGAGAATTCAGCAATTACAGAAGATTTATGTTTCAATGTAATATCCTTTTTCCTACAGAGATTTAAAACTTTTAAAAGTTTACACATACAATTTTAAAACAAGATGAGTACATGAAGGCCATTCCTGACACTTATGGAAAGACATTAAGCCCTCCTTTAAAGTTAAGCCTCTCTGTGCCTGACTTTCTCTCCCTGCCTTTGTCTATACCACTAAGATTACTGCCTTTAATTCAATTCACGGAGCTTTTATTGTATGCTTACAATGAATTACAGTGTTTTGGGGACACAGCGAAAGAGAAAACATAGCCCCTGCTTTTAAAGACCTTACAATCTCATCATAGAGGCGTGACATACATGCAGTAAGCTATTAACCACCATTGCAAGGCAGCATAGTTACTGACTCATAGAACATATAGGTGACCAGGTTCCCTGGGGAAGATAGAAATGGAAGTGGACCCTGAATTATTGGTAGAATATAAAAGTGCGGGGGTGGGAAGGAGAAGGAACAAAAAGACATGGAGATGACATTGACCATAGTATGTTTTAGGGGAATACTGGCTTCAGCACACTGGGGAAAGTGGCAGATAATTTTAGTTAGGCAGAGTAGGGCCAGACTGAAGAACCCTATTGAGCTAATACATCTTGGTTGCAAGTGCTAGAAACCAACGTGAACAGGCTAAACTGTACAAAAACATGGTGGTTAGAGCTCAGATTCTGATGTCAGATGGCCTTGATGTGAATCCTGATTTTATCCATTGCTAACTATAGTGGACAAGTTACTTAATTTCCTTGTCCCTGTTTCCTCATATGTAAAATGAAGTAATACATGGATTTATTGGGAATATTAAATAATATAATTTGTGTAAGCTAACTGAAACTTTACCTAGCATATACTAACTGCTCAGGAAGTTTTATCTTTTTTGTTGATAATGTTGACGATGTTGATAATTATGATGACGAAGCGAAGGAGAACTTAAAAAGACACGGGGGTGCCTTATAGAATTCAAAGACAGAAATGCCTCCAGATTTTAATATGGGACTAGATCAGAAAGCCATCAAGGAAAGCAGAAAGCCGTCAGGGACCCAGTCACCATCTTCCGTTTCTGTTTCTCTTAGGAGAACTGCAACATGTTTCTGTTTTCCAACACAGCAGTCTTTCCTGTTTCTCTGTTCTCACAGTGGAATATGTTCGCCCTCAGCTCCTGAGTTCATATGGAACAATTCCAACTACCAGAAGACAAGTGTGGCAGCCTCTTA